CAATCTTCGGGGATTTTAGATTGGAAACACAACAAAACACTAACACTCAGGGATTTGGGAATAGTCATACGCCTTCTAATATCAATGATTCGTTTTTAGATCGAATCAACGAATTGTTAAACGAATTCAATCAATGGCACCAGCGTGACCAAGAAGAACAATAACGTCGTCTATCATTTTATTTTTAGATCATATGTTACTAATTTTATGCTTTATTGTAGTCCATGTATGTTGATATACTTATTCCATGATAATTATATGTTTATCCTTTTGTGTGATGTAAATTAAATGCTGAATGGCGATTCATGCAGGGAAAGAACATATCAATATTCGCATATTCATTCAAAAACATGAAAATTCTTAATGGAGTACCCTCATTTCTTATTGAATTCCTAAAAAATAATATTTATAATGAATTTTAATAATTTTTTCAGATTTTTTTTAAGCTTTATTATGACCGATTCACCCGATTCCGGATCCGGATGGCTGATTCTCCGATCCGGATCGGTTTTTTGGAAGCCTGATCCGGGTCACCGATCCGTTTGTTAAACCATTGGTCTCATTTGATATATATATATATATATATATATACCTCTATTTTTTAATTGATGACTATGGGGAAAGTATATTATGATCCTCATGACCATCATATAGTTTTCCTAGTTCGGTAACTATAGGGTAAGTATATTATGGTCCTCATCACCATCGAAACCCATGTCACAGGATCATCACCATCCAATCAACTATTCAATGTTGATCAAGAGAGAAGAGAAGCCCATATAATGACAACACTCCAAATGGTAGCCCATGGTCTATGTACGGCACCATGAAATGCAATGATTGACTAGTGAAGGGCTTCCTAAGACCCAATTTGGATGGCCTATTTTTTTCTCTAAAAGTGTGTTATAATTAGTAGTTTGTCAACTTGGCACGTCAATATTCATATAAACGATTTTAAGAACTTAAATAATACTAAATAGTAAAACATGACCATTGTTGGGTGCCTATTTTCAGAACATTACAAAATTGAGGTGGAGGTGGATCCATTTTTTATGCAATTGGGAACATGGACCAAGAAATGAAAGAGGGAGCATACATAACCCCTGTCCTAGGGGAGGTGGATCTCAAATCAATCTTGCCCCCCTCTTCCATTATCTTTGTACATCCTTTTTATCCTATTACTACAAGGAAAATTGTTCCATGAGTCACAGGATGCATTTCTACATTGCGTCCTCCTAGGTATAAAGCGTCTATTTTAAAGATGGATTGCAAATGGGTGGTCCATCTAAAAACAGTAAAACTAATATTCCATAAGTTTTTTTATAAAATTATTATTTTAATTTTAAAATCTATTCATTTTTTCATATTCATGATCTCCATGTAAGAGATTGTATGTCACTAAAACTCGGATCCAAAAATCCATCTCAAAAACAGATTTTCGAGAGGGTCCTCATTTTTATGTGGATTCATAGAAACTGTGTGCTTTATACAATGCGTGGTGTTCTGCTCAAACTCTAGTCAATTTAGTGAAGGGAAAAAAATAACACAGATAAGGCAAATAAAGATGAGCCTGGTGTATGGCTAATAGGACATCCAAAGCATGTCTATTTCCATGGTCCTGAGGATTAGAGCATACTTTCCCTTCCCTGTGCTTTTATGCACTTAAGTCATTTGCTAAGTTGAGCATGCATGATAAGGGAAACATATGCCTTTTATTAAATATTTGGCCATTATAAAGGTTAGAAAAAGGTCATGAAATAAACAGAAAAATAATATTATACATATATGATTGCTAATAATTACCTCACTCATGAAGATATAACCATAATAAGAGGTCATGAGTCTATAATCATGAGCCAAAGCAAAAATGCAACCTGGCCCAGCAGCATGTCCCCTGACCACAAAATGACATCAACATTTAGAAATAAAAAAAGTAAGAACAAAAATCTTTATTAATTTATCATGGTTACAAAATATCAAATTTGAGAATGGGAGATTTCTATGATGGCGCAAATTAATTTCTACTATCAATTTTGAAATTTGTAGCTCAAAAAATGGTACAAATCTTACCGATCCGCAAATACTTGAAAATGAATGGTCTAGATAATGTATTATAATATACACTATGTTTAGAGCTTGAAATCTAAATCTTTTTCACAATCAGAATGATCAAGGTAGAGATGATCGATTTGGACGTTTGCCAAAGTCAGAACTGCACTTTTTCGTAAGTTTTGAGGTGATGCTTACTTATTTTGTTTTCGTGAGTTTTGAGGTGATGCTTATTTATTTTGATATGACTATAACGCTTTCAAAACATTTTCCTTAATAAAATTTGGTATTTATATAAATTATTATCCTTTAACGGGGTGACCTAGCGTCCCTATTATTTGTTTTCGACGTGTGCATAAGTGAGCATCCCATGTCTAGGTTTCTGCCTTTATTTTTTTCTTTTTTTTTCGTTTTTTTTGGGTAGTTCAATAGTGTTTTTGTTTTTATTTCATTGGATAGTTTAGGATTAGGAATCCTGAAACTAAATGCTGCTAACGCCAATTGTTAATCACTCAAGCCCAAGCCTGATTATTTGAGTCTGTGTCAAGCTGTGGGATGGTCTCACAAGATGATCATTTAATTATTCTTCCGTTCCATGGTACAATAAAGAATGATTTACATACGGACTTTAAACTTTTATGTAAAATACAAAATGTTCTACTTATATATTGGAATTACAAATAAAGTCGGTCAACTCACATTTTTTGTTTTTTTTTTTAAAATAAATTGCCCCTCAGGCAACCTAAATTTTGATTTTACTTTTTAGTTTATCCATTAGTAGGGCAATGCCTTAAACCATCGAGCATTGCCCTACTAATGAAAAAACAAAAAACAAAAAACAAAAAACAAACCTAAAAACAAATTCAAAATTAGCATTGACCACATAGGGTAATTTTGAAAAAAAAAAAAAAAAGATGGGTTGACCGACTTTTTTTGTAATTTCCACATAACATTTTGTATTTTACTTAAAATTTTAAGATCTGTACATAATCAGTCTAGAATAAAAGGAGGACTTTTAGGGTATAAACCATGAAAAATTCCGTAAATCAGTCTAGAATAAAAGGAGGACTTTTAGGGTATAAACCATGAAAAATTCCGTAAATCAGTCTAGAATAAAAGGAGGACTTTTAGGGTATAAACCATGAAAAATTCCGTCATGGTGAAATGAAATTGACTCACCTTACAACGGCTATGGTTGGGACGCAAAGGGTTAGAAGTCTGCTTACTAGCATTTGAAATGCATGTACATATTCCTGTTTAAATCATAAAAATAAATAAATAATTAAATAAATAATAATAATAATAATAATAATAACAATAATAATAATAATAATAAAATAAAAAATTAGAAACAAACGTCTTTACTAGTTTTACATGTTACAAATATTACGAAAATTCAAACAATAATATATAAAGTCTGTTTAAATTTAGCTTGCTTACCTTCCCTTGATCTATGTTGACCCTTCGAAGATGGTTAACATCCATCCCTTTTGAGAAGAACTTGCCCTGATTTCTCATTGACTAAGTTATTTATTCTTAAACATTATGAGATGAATACTTATAAAAAAACTTATTTGTAAACATATTTGATACTTTGTAAAACGGATTGTATGTTAAGAGACTATTTATCTTTGTTTCAAAGAGGTCATAATTATTCCTGACCATTAGATGATGGCTTGAAGTGAGTCAGAACCTCATTTGTGATGACCAACGCAAATGCCTCCTTATCATTGCCAACCTGAATATCGAGATTTTCATAAAATGTAATTAATATAAAATAAAATAAACTAAACGCACTATTATTTTCATTATTTATACAAAAAATGAAAAAATACTTATGGACAAAGCTGTCAATGTCATGGACACCCAGGGATTTAGTTTAGTTAAGAGTGTGAGCAAGTCTATCAAATTTATGGTATTTAAGGCTTTTGATCAACACTATTTTCAAGATTTTTTAATGTTTATAAAACTACTGATCTGCACTATTTTTTTAACATAAAATTTCATAAATAGGGGTAGAAGTAGATTTTTAAGTTATCATAAGAACCATTTTGGGTGGATCAATGGAGGATACAGACCCCTACCTATTTTTTGTAAATTGTTAATGGTTTTCGAATATGTCAATTGGAATGGAAACCTAGACCGGTAGTTCATACTCTTGCGATAATATTTATTCTCTAGAGCTAACCAATGACCTATATCCTACTCTCGATCCCATGAAACTATGTTTTTGCTATTCTTGCAACTCTAAAATGATATGAACTTCTGAGGGAGGCAAAATCCAACCCAGTGAGAACTCGTTGAGTTTCAAACAGTACTATGAGACACGCTCGAGTCCTCTCGGACTTGGGTAAGTAACTCAGCCTCGCCCTAATGACGAGTCCCATAACATTGGTTTCAAAAGAACATCACATATTATAATAAAAATCATTATTTTACGGAACCGGTTAAGAATTTTACAAATCCAACTTGTTATTTCATTTGAAAACCGTAAATTCTAATTTCTCCTTAGAAAACATCTTTACCTGATCGAGTGATTCATTGATCTGACGGATGGCATCTCGACTAAATCTGTATAAGAGGAAAAGTAATGAACGTTGAACAACAGGATGAAATTGAAAGCAAAAGACTTTCAGCAATAAAAATGGAAAAGAAGTATAAAGTATAAACTCCAAAGCTTGCATGCACATGCAGTCATGCGCTTGCCCTCGCACACACACATGCACATGCATACACAGTTGCATTGTCTGATTTTTTAAGAGAAAGAGAAGGAGAGAGAGACCCATGATCCAAATTTCCAGTAAAAGTTAATAAATAAAGGCCTTCATGGAGCCTCTGCAAATCGCAGAAGCTTGAAGGAGTTGAGCCCTGGCCTTCCATCTCAACAATTAGAAATAAAAAGAAACGATAAAAGAGAAGAAACCCGTGGGCTAAATAAACTGTTGAAGGAACAATAAAACCAAATAAATTTTGGAGCATTCGACTATGCTGGATCGATGAGAACCCACATTTAAAGCAAATTTTGTTTTATTTTAGTATATTTCTCATTACCAACACATAATATTCCAATATATATCAATATATTAAATATATTTTAATATATTTTGTTTTGTTTTTAAGAAGACTTGTGCCCTAATGAGACAAGAGAGAACCTCATAGGACATATCATAGAATAACAATATAGAGAAGATAACTAAAATTAGGGGATTGTATATTATAAGTTAGGGTGTGCTATACTTGCAACTAGTATTCGAAAAATCGGCGATTCAATATGAAATCAGGCAATTCGGATCAGGTATCGCTCAAGCCGTCTCAAATCTAAAATAAAAACCATTTGTACCATTTTATTATTAAAAAACATTTAAATCACCATGTTGATGTCATGAATCGTGGGCTCTGGCGCGTCTACCATTTTATTATTAAAAAGCATTTAAATCACCATGCTGATGTCAAGAATCGTGGGCTCTAACGCGTCTTATTTTGACGACGTCGTGGGCTCTGGCACATCCAATTCGTGAGCTCTGGCACATCCAATTTTTTATTCAAAAACTCTCCTGCCCACCTTTTGCTTGTGTGGACAAACCTCACATGGTGGACCCTAGCACCTTGCACGAGGCCCTATTCCCAAACAATTCCTTGCCAGTGACTTATTGCAACTCATTATATATGCATTTTCCGTCTCATATCCTTTCGATGTGGGACAATTCTCATAGCCCAACGTTACTCCAAATTTAAGCGTACTTTATTTTAAATGATAGCGATAATTTGCTCCAAATTATTTTTGGTGTTTGTATTATGTAGGGATGGGTGGGTTCTATAAATAGATATTTCTCTCTTATACAAGGGCATCTATAAAATGAAATGGCCTATAATTCTTTATTTTTAATATTTAATATTTCTTTTGGTTTATTGAACATTTAAAAAAATACTAGTTTATGAGATATTTTAATAGAGAAAAATAACACTAGCTCATATTACTTTAGAATTTATTTCAAGTTGCTTTATCGATTTTCTCACATTGCAAATATGAAAAAAAAAAAAATTCCCTAATTTATTTAAATATGATTGCAAATTTATGTTACTAAATTCTATATTTCTATCAACACAAATTATTATACATTAGATTTATTTATTTGTGAGGGTCATACCCTTGCTTTTTTAATCACGTTTATTATAATATTGTACTTAATAATTACACTAATTACAATGATAATCAAATATTATATTTTATTTATTAATTTATTTACATTATAAATTATACAATGTATTATTTTTTGTTATAGCTGTATATTAGATTTTTAAAATTAGAAGATATTATAAGACAAATTTCAAATTTATTCCTATTTGTATAGAAAACGATGATAAAATAATAAAATACAAACCAATAATTTTAATTTCAATGTATAATATTGTATTTAGTTAGGTTTTAATAAATATTTGATGAGAATCTCTATACATGAAAACAACATCTCAATATTCGCATATTGATGCAAAAAAATATAAGTTATTAATGTAGTACCCTCATTTCTTGTTGGATTCCTAGAAAAAAACTTTTATAATAATTTTTTTGAATTTTTTTTTTTAATGTCTAATCCAACCGATTTGGCCAATTCCCGATCTGAAACAGCGATTCACCGATTCGGATGGGTTTTTGGGGTGCCTGATCCAGGGCATCGATCCATTTTTAAACAATTGCTTACCATTTTTTAAACAATTGCTTACAACCATAAACCATCAAAGAGTGTGCTTTGTATAAGGTTGCAACTTGCAACATTGAACAATCAAACTAAGGTGCACCACTAAATTCGATTATATGATATAATTTAGTAAGGTGCACCACTAAATTCGATTATACGATATAATTTTGGTGTCGAAATTTTTTAGGATGGCTTGAGAATCCATTTTCATTTTTAATTATAAAACTTTAGACCCTAAAAATGTTTCAAATCAAGTAGATTTACAAACACATGACAATAATGAAACTGGATAGTTCAGATAATGTATTGCAAGATCCACTATTTTTGGAACTCAAGATTTTTTTTTTTTTATAGATTACATTAGATGGTTTTTCAAATTCAAAACAACTTTTTACAATGGATTTCTTAGGTGCACCTTAATTGCATCCTTATATAATTTTTTTCTTACAAGTTCATTTATATTTGGCACAAAGTCGCAATCACTTTTTGCCATCAACATAAAATCCAACTTAGAGTGCACTACAAAATTTAATAAATGTCTTTTTACTTTAAACCAAGTCAATAATGTAGTTGCAGCGACTTAATTTTTTATCTAACAGCTAAAGATGATTGTAAGGCATACAAAGCAAATAGTCTTTTACACTTCTCCCAAAATTAAGCTTTTTACATGGTCCGCCAGCAAAGAGGGTAAAAGCCTAGTTCACCGTCCCTTTAACATATGTTTATAAATCTTGAAGACTTTTATAGGAAGTTGAAGTTGGAATTTCCACGAAAATTACGAAGTTCACGAGTTCGAATATGGAACTGAAAAAAATTGTGTTTGATAACTTATTTGGAAATTTTAAGAAATATGAGACCATGTGTTTGAACCTGGAACTCTAGATACCTACAGATCTGAAAATTAGCGAGTTTTAATCATTTATTGAAGTTATCACTGATGGGATGGTGAAGTTTGTTTGCTAAACTGGATTTCAAAAATCATAACTTATCTACAGTAGGTCTAAAACATTGAATGGTCTAAATTACATAAAATGATGATGAAGATAGTAGTGATAATAATGTGGTTATAGGTCACCAAAAATTGACGGCTGAGAATATATATATGAGTATTTTAATCTTATTTTATCTTTTTATATACGATTGAGAAAAAAAATTAGTCATGTATGCTTTTCACCTCTTGCACATATATAAAATATATAAAACAAAATTATAAAACACAAATGACCAAAATAAACCTTAAATTTTGAAGGTTATTTTGGACATTTCCTTTTATTTGAATTACATTTATCTTTTATTGAGATGGGCAAGTAAACACTAGAAATTTCATCTTGATTAAATATTAAGAAAACAAAAAACAAAAAAAACTGATAAAGCAAACATTTTTGAAATGACGTAATAGTCCACATTGTAGTTCAATAAAAGCTACTGATCGGATGGTTAGACTGCTAAGTATTTGAAATTCATATTTTTACATACAAGGAAATCAGATGAAATTTGGGACTCTATTCATCTAGCCCTCACACACCTCTAAAAGTATAAAAAACATTTCAAAAATTAAATGAGAAAAATAGCCCTAAACTTTTTAGGGGTATTTTAATCATTTTGCTTTTTTGAACTTTATATATTTTTTATATATGTGCCCCAATTACGGGCAACAGCCCCCCAAATTTCATTTAAATCTATTTTTTAAAAATAAAAAGGTTCAAGCAATAACTTATTAAATCCATGGGCAAAAGGGGTAAGCCTTTCAAACTTGGTCCAATAGTAAAGTGCTACTTTCATAAGGAAAATTATTTCATGCGGGCTAGACTGTATTTCTATAATATGCGTTTCAAAGGCATACAACATTCATCTTAAAAATAGATGCAAATAGGTGGTCCATCTAAATACAATTGTAACTAATGGTCCAAATGTTTTCTTAATAGAATTATTATTTTTAGTTTTCAAAAAAAAAAATCAATATTCATGAACTTCATATTAAAGATTATATATGTTTAAAAAATTAAAATCAAATTATATTTAAAATATATATTTATTGTCAAGCTCGCACTTCTACAATGTCCAGGATGGCCACATAAAAACCATGTCATTTCCGTAATCATACCAACAGGAGAAAAGAAAATGTTCCCCATAGTTCTTTAATTGGGCCCGATGCTTGAATCGTCCATTCCTATGATCATCGATGATTGATTTAGGCCAATCAATTTACACCACACATTGCCCTAGCGCATTAATATAATGAGATTGTATATTATAAGATCATTTTCTCTCGTTACAAAGATAGTAATCATTTGTAATTATTCGACGTGAAATTTGATTGTTGAGTTGTGTCAAGAAGTCTAAAAAGTTTTTATTTGGACTTTTGATTGTATTAATCATTACACCAGGTTAATATGGATTGTGACCACCTTAAAGTGAAGATAAATGATCTTATTACATATTTTGCCTAATATCATTAGCCCTAAAAATAAATAAAAATATCAAAAGTATAACTCTCTAAAAATAAGGGCAAAAGTATAAGACATGGAACGGAACAAGGAGCAATTACCGACATAAATTTACAAAAAACCCCAAGATCATACTTTCTATGCAACTGACCCTAACTTAGTTTTCACTCACTTTTTTCCTCAAAACAAATTTGTTGCCCAAATACCCTTCAAGGGAAAAAATTCATTTTTTTAGACAAAAATGCCCTTTTTGTACACAAAAATCATTTTGGCTAGATTTGATGTTGACATTTGGACCTAATAGCACATTGCCGGAGCGCACCATCACGTTGCCGGAGCGTACAAGTGTTAAACCTCCCTAAGATAACTACCGAACCAAAACGGAGTACTGCTGAACCGCCATTTACATAGTGTTTGACCCTTGGAATCCAGTAACATCCGCCCTTTGCAACTGCTGGACTGCCCTTTGCAACTGCCCGACGGCCCTTTACAATTGTCGGACCGTACTTTACACAGTGCCAGAGCCCTACTGCCGAACCGCACTTTACACAGTGCCAAAGCCCTATTGTCGGATCGCACTTTACATAGTGCCGGAGAGCTACTGCCGAGCATCACTTACACAGTGTCGGATCTCCTGTTTTTGTGGGATAGAGGAGAGAGAAGCATAGGTAAAGATAAAAGTTGTCGGACCGCACTTTACATAGTGCCGGAGCGCTACTGCCGAGCGT